GCTCAGCTGGGTGTCAGGCTCCCACGGGAAGCGGCGGCTGAAGTCGGAGCTGACGCCGGACATGATCAGCCCACCGCTGGGGGACTTTCGGCACACCATGCACGTGGGGCGCGGCGGGGACGTCTTCGGAGACACCTCCTTCCTCAGCAACCACGGTGGAGCCGACACCACCAAAGCCAACAACTTCTTTGCGCGGACGCTGAGGCACGTCCGCCGGACGCCGCTGAGGAGCCGCAGCAGTGGGAGCCAGGCATCGCCGGCACCCCCAGCCATCTCGCCCATCATCAAGAATGCCATCTCACTGCCACAGCTCAACGAGGGCATGTACGATGGCGGCGGCGGCAGCCGGGGCTTGACCAGCAAGTTCTCCTTCAAGAGCGCCTCCAACAGCTTCTCCAAGACGCACCAGACCTACGGTGAGTGAAGCGCGGGGCAGAGGCTGGTGCCCAGGCGCAGTGTGTCCTCTGCAGCCCTTCTCCATCGCTCCATGCCTCGGTTTCCCCACTGAGGGACTTCAGCCTCTCAGCAGAGACAGGACATTTAGGAGTCCCCAGTCCTGGCAAATCCATGCAAGGAGATAACCTATCCTTGCTTTCAATTGCAGTCCTTGCTCCTGCCCTTGGCGGGTCTCCCCCAGAGTGGGATATGGATGGTTTCTCCTCCTCTCACACGGCTGGCAGTCCATGTAGAGTCGCTGTAAGGGGGTGCCCTCCATCTCCCCCCAGCCCTACACCTTCTCTATGAGCAGCCTCCCCAGGAGGGTGTTGGGGCAGTGGGGCAATGCCCATACCAAGGTTGCGAGGTCAAGGGGACCTACGGCACAGCCTTCCCTCCCTCCACACGCAGATGCTCTATCCCTGTCCCTAGCTGTGCAACCTGCCCCATACCCATGTCCTCCTGAAGGGACTCCATCCCCTCCTTCCCCATTGTGCCACATCCTGCCATGCCGGTTGGGGTCCAGGATGGACGTTTGGGAAGGACGGGAAGGGACAGCAGGGTAGCTCTTCTCTGGCCTCACAGCACTGGGCTATGGCTCAGCTTTTCCCCAGGGAGGGAGGTCTGGAGCAGAGGATCTGGGGGTCCTGCAGCAGCGGGGGGAGACGGCTGGGCTCATAGGGAAAGGCAAGCTGAGGCAATGCTGCCATCTCCTGGTCCTACCTGCCTGGCTCAGCCGCCACCAGTATCCTCCCAAGCCCAGAGCCCACCTGGAGACCCTCTGCTGTAACTCGGGCCTTTGGAGATGTCCACGCGGACACCAGCTTGCCCTTTAGAGGCCAGCGCCAACGATGGGAGCATGCCATTTCGGTGTCAGTATCCCTTGTCCCCCGCAGATGTCAGGCAAGCTTCCTCCCACCTCACCATCCCCTGACTCACCAGCCATCATTTCTACATTGCAGGGCTGGAGTCCGGGTTTTGCACCATCCCTCGCGTCCCTCGCTTGGAAAAGGCCCAAGAGAGCTCCTTCCCTGGGGAAACAGAGCTGACACGCTCAGACTCCCTGCTCTCCTTCCGTCTGGACCTGGGGCCCTCGCTTATGAGCGAGCTCCTCCAGGTCATGAGCTTCTCCGAAACCAATGGGAGCCAAATGGGGGAGAATGGCACAGGTCTCCTGTGCGGTGAGGGGACCAGGGATGGTGTCCCTCCAGCACGAGGAGAGGACAAGGCAAGGTCCAGCTTCTGGGACCGCTCTGGGCAGAGCAGCCTGTCGCGAGCCAGCTCACTGCCAGGACTGTCAGTCCGTGCCAATGGAGACGCACATGCCATCGAGAGCACCGGAGAGGATCCTGCCTGGGCCTCGGGGCTGGGGACATCACCCAGAGGGACTCCATGGCAGGGCCATTGGAACGACTGCACCATCGAGGCGGGAGAGTTTGACCGGGCAACACAGGTCCTGGCACGTCACTATGGTGGGACCAGCACCCCGCGGAGCTCGCAGAAGGGTGAGGGTGCCCGGCAGGCCCAGACACAGACCCTATGGGAGAGCCCCAGCAGCAGCTTGTGGCGGTCACAAGTGACAGGGGAGAGCCGATCCCCTGAGACCACCTGGCACCAAGGAGATGAGGAGGAGGAGGAGGAAGAGGCCACATTCGCCAGCCTGCAGGAGGGGTACGCTGGTGCCCGGGGGAGGCGCAGCAACTCCTTCGAGTACGCCGATGAGGAGGAGGATGATGAAGTCAAGGTGTGAACTGCCATCACGGCCCCCATCAGAAGCACTGGTGCTGGGGTCTTTGCCCTCCTCCCTGTCCCCCGCCTGCAGGCACCAGCATCACCAGCAGACCCAGCAGGCAACCTCCCTGCCAAGCTGGGAACACTGGGGAGGTTGGAGGGGGGCAGGAGGAAAGCCCATCTCTGGAGAGGCTCCCTGAAGCTGGGCCTGGCTGCTGTAGGGGGCTGATGGGGGCTCTGCGTCGCAGCACCAGGCACTGTGGCCCTTAGACTGCCATTAGACACCAAAGGGACATTCCAGTGTGCCAAAGAAACCCCAAGCCCCTTCTTATCCCATCCAGTTCCTCCTAGCACCCTCTCTCACATCCCTCAGCCTGCCCCTGCCAGCTTGTATGGGGATGTGCTCCATTCTCCCACCAAAGCCTCCAACTGCCCTCTCCCTCTATGCTGGCACCAGTGCCTTTGCAGAGATAGTCTCACCAATAGCTCTGGCACATAGGGGATGGGGGTCTCCCCAGCTCCAGCTGGTGCAAGACCTTCTATATAGCACATATGTCTACCAGGGGAGGTCAGCTGGGGGCTCAAGGCTAACCCTTGAGCTGAGCTTTCTCTTTTTCCCTCCCCTCCCACCAATAAAGCTGTGAGTTCAGTGTTCAGGAGGTGAGAGCACTCGCAGAGATAACCAAAAGGGTCTTTCCGCTTGCCTCCTGCTGCTAAGCATCACTTCGGACAGCTCCTTTTCTGACCTCCACCTCCCTGCAGCAGGGAAGGGAGAAACTTCTTGTCTGGCTGGAGGCAGAGGCCAGGTTGTCAGGTCACCACATTCTGCAGTTCAGGCCCTAAAAACCCATTCCATTCCCCTCCACTTCAGAACAAGGAGACTCCCACTCTGCAGCCTCTCGGTCTGTGCCATCCTCACCTCCTCTTCCCCCTTCCCTACACATACATCCCTCTTTCCAGGGTGCCCCTTCCCAGGGGTATGCATGGAGGATGGCTAATGGTTAATGCCACTTGCCAAGCAACGTGGCCACCCTGGAATGAGCTGCCCCCCCACGCTGCCCCATTGCAAACTGGCCCTTACAGAAGCTCCTTTGTGCCGTGGCATGGAGCCGAGATTCTCGGGGGCTGAGGTCACTGGAGGGACCCTCACAGGACACCCCTTGTTCTCGGGGACAGGAGGGGGGAGATGCTGGGCCATGGTGCAAGGCTCACCCACCACTCCTGGCAGGGAGCTCTGCAGGGCAAAACACAGGGCTCTGGTGTGCACGTGTGTTCTACATGGAAGTGCCATTTGCAGTCTGGCCACCAAGGCTACGGGCAAGCCAGGGCAGGCAGCAGCTTCAAAGAGTCCCCAGCTCTGGCCATGGCACCCAGCAGCATCAGCTGTATCACTGCTGATGATACTGTTGATGAGAGCCCTGCACCCTGTGGCTCTCAGGATGAGTTCCCCCCACCCTCTGCTTCCCAGATCGTAACACAAGCCCCAGACCAAAGACCCATATCTGTGGAATATCCTTTCTGCCTCTGCTCTGTATCCCATGCACTTATTATTGTCCTTATTAAAATACTTTTGATACTAACTTCTCCTCTGGTGCCTCCCCTCAGCTGCAGCAACCTTATCTTCCTTGCTAAGTCTGATGGTGTCCTGGCCACAAAATCCCATCTTCTCCACTCTCAACAGGATTTGTGAGCACCTGTGGGATCCCTGGGTTACTAGCCTGGTACTTTGTCACCCACCGTGACTAACACACAAAGCAACTTCCTATCCACCCAGCCCCACATGGCATGCAGGAGGCTGCAAAGCTTCCTCTCCAGCCCCGCAACAGTTCATTTGTAGCCTGAAGCAGATCAGTACCCTTCCCAAAGCTGGCTTGGCTACAGCACTTCCAGCCTGTCAGACATCCTGATGCACTCAGGCAGCAGCAAGTCCCATGGGCTGGGCAGCAAGAAGTAGAGAGGGAGGGCAGGGGCACTGTCACATTGTCTTCAACTGGGATATCTGTAAGATGCTTTTCTACTCTGCTGCCCTCCCATCCTGCCTAAAGTGTCCCAGTGTTTTCTGTCACACATTGGTCTCATTTAAGGCTGGTGAGACGCTTCACTAATTGGAGCAGCAGCGTCTGGTAACCAACACTAATTGCCTGTAGTCCAGTGCAAGGGACACAGATTGGGAGATGCTGAGCTGCGTAACGCAGCCCAAACCCTGTCCTCGCTCCCCACTGCCTTTTCTGCCTCACTTTCTCTGGATAGGGTTCCATGGGGAAATATCAGAGTAATGGGTAACTTGGCTGGAATGTGCCAGCAGATAAGTGAGGTGAGATAAGGGGAAAAGTTGGAGGAGACACTTCCTTATCAATAGCAGGAATGCTGGTTCAGGGGCACACCTGCACTGCCTTCACCATGCCACCGCTTCACATGGTACCGCTCCTGGGGGAGGGCAAAGCACCTCTTCCTCCTGCCCAGAGGAACCTGTTAAACCCATGCCCTGAGGTTCCCAAGCCTAACATTTACCTAGGCGCTTTCGTGGCACCAAATGCCATGTGGAATGTCCCATCTCTCACTTTTCTACCTCTTCCTCCCTCCCTCCCAAAAACTCAGGTGCATGAAGAAGTGCATTGTGAAGAGATTGCACAACCATTCCCTGAGCAATAACATAGAGTCTTCCTCTTCCTGAATACCACCTATAAACTGCTTTGCCCTACCTACTATCCCTTCAACCCCACATCCTGGTCTGACCTGGAAAAGTACCTGGCATTATCTGGGAGCTGTTTCCATCCAACAAGTAAAAAACTTGGGCTCTGTTGGTGTCTCACACAGAGCCACAGAGCCAGGGATGTCACAGAAGCCAAAGTACTGGAGCAAGCAGTCTCCCACTGCTTGGGTTTTTATTAGAGCCAGGAAGCTGCACCCATCAGTCCAGCTTGAAGGAGGTGACCCTGAAGCCTCCCTTGACACTCATGTAGCTGATCTTGTTGTAGCAGTGCCGGTTGGGGAACTCCACTTCATGCCCATCTGGTAGTTTCACTTGGAATTTGTCTTCCAGCATTTCAATAACAATCTGGGAGAAGGAAGGGGAGGAAGGGCAGCAATTGGGGACAAGGGGGAGATTAGGAGCCGAGCATCCAGGCAACAGGCCTCACTGTTACAGGGTTAGACCTGGTTCTCACAGCCTTAAACAAGGTGTGGGGGCTTGAGTTGAGAAGGATGCAGGAAATGAGCAGTTAACATCAAGGGTCTGAGTTGGTATCTAGACTATGACCTGGGGACAGAATCTATCCTGGGGCTGTTTCAGCTACTCAGACTGTAAGCTCAGAGCAGTTGAACACAAGTGTATCTTTATACACCATAGGGCTTAGATCTGCTCCGAACAGGGCAGAATAAACCTAACACCCCAATGCCCTCAGCAGTTCACCGGGCCCAGAAAAAGGAGCTTCACTGATAAACACACAAGCAGACAGGATGAGAACAAATCACTGATCATTGCAAACTGATGAGGCCAATGGCTGCAGCCAGTGGTATGAGGCTCAACAAGACAAAGTGCCAGGTCCTGCCCCATGCAATGCTCCAGGCTTGGGAAAGAGCGGCTGGAAAGCTGTCATGGAAAAGAGCCTGGGAGTGCTGATTCACAGAACTGAACAAGAGCAGCTTGTGCCCAAGTGGCCAAGAAGGCCAACAGCATCCTGGCCTGTACCAGCAATAGTATGGCAGCAGAGCCAGGGCAGTGATCATCCCCCTGTGCTGGGCACTGGCGAGGCCACACCTCGAATCCTGTGTTCAGTTCTGGGCTCCTCACTACAGGAGAGACATTGAGGTGTTGGAGCAGGTCCAGAGAAGGGCAATGGAGCTGTGGAGGGTCTGGAGCACAAGTGTGATGGGGAACAGCTGAGGGACCTGGGGGGGGTTTGTCTGGAGAAGAGAAGGCTCAGGGGGGACCTGATCGTTCTCTACAACTGCCTGAAAGGAGGATGGAGAGAGGTGGGGTCAGCCTCTTCTCCCAAGTAATGAGTGACAGGACAAGAGGAAATGGCCTCAAGCTGCACCAGGGGAGGTTTAAACTGGATTTCTTAGGAACAATTGGAACAATAGGAACAATCTCTTTACCGAGAGGGTGCTCAGGCATTGAAACAGGCTGCCCAGGGAAGGAGTCACTGTCCCTGGAAGTGTTCACAAACCATGCAGATGAGGCCCTCCGCAACATGGTTTAATGCTGGACTTGCCAGTCCTGGGGTAAAGGTTGATGATATTAAACGTCTTTTCCAACCTAGTTGATCCTATGATTCTAGAAGGATTGTTCCCCAAAGCTGTTACCTTGACACTCCTTCCCCAAGAGCCAGCCATGACTAAGGAAACAAGCTTCCTCTGCACAGCAATAGGAATAGGACTGCTCCTAAATGCAGCATTGTTCATGTCTGGAGATATCAGATGGGGTGAGACAGCAACTAGGACAGCATTCTAGCAGGAGGAGAGAGCACAGATTGGTAGCGTGGATGCAGGAGTAAAAGAGCTGAGGAAGAGGTTTTTGGATATTGCTCCAAATTCTGGTGCCCAATTTTGCACAGTACAGAATCGGGGAGAGAAATAAAGCAGAGAACAGCTAGATCCTGCTTCTTGGAGACCCCCTTCACAACTTCATACGTGCCCCTGGTGCACTCACCTGCTGAGCAAGTACAGGGGCCAGGAAACACAAAGCCTGAGACGCACAGGGCTCACATGAAGTTCTCAAAGGAAGCATCAGGGTTTTAAAGGAGGAGTGGAAATGGCAATTAGGACCAAAATCCCAGAGAATGAAGGGCTGTTGGGAGGGAGCAGGAGACATCGAGTGCGACTGGGAGCTCCAGGGTGAGGGAATCTACTAACCAGGGGCTTTGCCCCACTACACAGCCCCCCCATAACCCCGTGCCAGCACAGGTCCCTCACCTTTATAGAGGAGCCCCTGGAGAAACAGAGGTGGTCATCGCGATGCTCTGCCTCCCAGGCATCGGAGCACTTGGAGTTGCAGACGATGACAGACTCATCGAACCGGGGATTGAAGTGAAATGCCAGATCTGAGGACCTGCAGCCGAGATTGATGCTGAAGCTGTGGGAGAACAGGAAGAAGGTCAGCCACGCAGGCAGAACAAGGTCTTGGAAGACCCGAGATCCAACACGTGGCTCTGCGCTCAATTCCTCCATCAGCATTGCAGGTGCTTAATGCCTCCTGTTTGTTCATTCTGCTCAGGAACTGGAGGAGTTTGAATAGTGGTGGCTTAGGGGCTCCCCTAACACTGAGCTTCTTGTACCTGGCAACCTTGGAAAACCACCTCCCTCTACAGCCCACCGTCAGTCCTGGCAAGTCGAGGTGGTTCCTTTGTACTTACTTATCGGTATCATCGGATATCTTGCCCTTGATCTTCAGGCTGTGCCCAGTCTTCAAACCCAGGTTGAAGATTTCAAATTTTTCCTAAGGTAGAGACAAACAATTGTCTGCAGGATTTCTTCAGCTATTCCTCCCCTGCCACTGCAAGCAAGAGGGTGCTGCCAGAAGAAGGTGCCCCAGCCAGGAGAACATCTACTGCTCTTAGTTGATGTTCCTCCCGTGGCCAAAAACCCTCCATGTGGAGGACTTGCCTGGGTTTCTTAGTGATGAAAGAGTGGGCTGAGTGAAGCCAGCAAGCAAGGAAAGACATCAGAGAGAGAGGAGATGAAAACAGGCTTGTCTTCAGCAGAAGGAGAGCATGAACACAGAGGTACAAAGAGGGTTGAAGCAGAGGGGCACAACCCAGTGTTTGGTGGGCAGCATCACATGCTGCCCGAGAAATAACATGCAAGTGGTAAGAGCAGAGGTGGCTGTGGATTGGCTGATCCCTCACTCAGCCCTGCAGAGCTGAGGACCCTGGGTAACAGAGGACAGGAGCAGCAGCCCTTACAGACATCTTCCTCAGAGAGCAGAGTAACCAGGTAGGGAACCACCAGCAGTTTAACTCAGAAATGCTTCACACTGAGGACCTTAGACCATCCTTAGACTTCCTTGTGGCTTACACATTAACAGCACCCCTGCCTCTGCAAGGCCCCACCAATTACTATTAAGCCACTAGACTTTGATCCAAAGAAATAGCTTCCCAACACTTCCTGTTGTTAGGGACTTCAGGAGATTAAACCAATTCCCAGCCTCCTTGGTGGGCTCCCAGTGGAGAGACCACCACACACACACCATAGGGGTCTTAATCTAGCCAATGCATAGGACAAGCTTTTTCCCAGTTGGCCATGGAGGTTTAACCACCATATTCACTGTTTTTCTGTGTGTAACAGCTCAGCCAAAAGCAGCATCCCAGATCCTTCCTTTTGTGGCAGGGGGCAGCCCCAAAAACCAACACCAGCATACCAAAACTGTTCAACCATCCCTCCCACAGTGCTCCAATCCACTTGGAGGAGAGGGCAGCCAACACATCCCCTCTAGATGACATAAGTTATGGACAGTCCCTTGCTGGAGTGACATGAGTGGTACCCCAGCTCTTTCCCTTCTCATGGCTCTAGACTCAGCCCCAGCTGTGTGGATTGCACTGGCAATATGTGGGAGCTCTCTGCAACCTCCCATCCAAGCTCCACTGAGATGCAATTCTTTTGGCATGAGGAGCCATGCACATCAGGTTCAACAGCACCATCCTCCCCAACCCTGAGACATGGGAAGGTTGTCCTCACAGGGGAGCATCACACGAGCATCACATGTGCGGTCTGCTTCCCAGGTAAGAGCTGTCAATACACAGTGACCCAGGTTTGGCTGAACAAATGGGTGGTGTTTTGCTGGACTCCAGAAGTCAGTGGGAAAGTGAGAGGGAGGAGGAGGCCAAGACCCAGAAGACCAGCATCCCCTCATCCTCCTCTCAAGCCCTGCAGAGAGCAGTTGAGTGCAGTCATGCTGCTGCTGCACAGCCAGCTGGGAGACAGCTTCTGCCCTTCCCCAAAACCTCCTGAAGAGAGCAGAGGTAAGTGCTGATAAGCACTCCTTCCCCGGAGGTGCTTCCTGTTAGCTGGGGGTCATAAAGCCCAACAGACTGGGAACATCTGTTTGCTGTTGAGGTCACTTGAAGCTGCTGGTGAAACCTCCCTGTGCTGAGCATAGAAGCAGTGTTGGGGATGGTGGGTTCTGGCATTGGGTCTGTTTCCCAGCATGCTGCTGCGTTGCATGTGCACACAGTTCCATGTCACCCTGCTCCCCTGCAGCCATCCCAGGGACAACACAGAGTCCACCTCTCAAAATATCAGAGTATCCCACTGGCTCTTTCCAGCAACTTACATTCCCCTTTGCAGGGACAAGGGCAGTACAAAGACACTGTTCACATAGCCACCATCAAGGTTAGTTATCTGAACCCACTTTAAGCCATCAGGGAGGAACAAACACTTCCAGGGCTCAAGAGATTACATCCCAAGACAGACCTTAAACTTGGTCCTACATGGCTGGCCAAGGTGACACAGGAATGTTGTAACACAGACAAGACCCAGGTCCCAGGCTAGCAATGTAGAGGAGGCTTCCCACACAGACCAGTCAGAAACATCACTCTCACAGGGATTTATCCTTTTGTCTCACTGGCAGAGCACGAGGCTGCCCAGCGTGTGTGTGAGGATAGGGAGAACTGCCTGAGCACAGTTATGTGCAGAGCTGCAAGTACCACGGATGTGAGAATACACAGAGATGGAGACAGGCAGGAAAGAGGCACGAGCTGCTCAGAGAGGGGCCATGAGATTTGATCGAGATAACACTAACCCCCCTCCTACAATGCTCAGCAGGGGCGTTCACCCCCCTTTTATTTGCCACTGGGAACAATAGTGGGAAACCAGAGAGCACCTCTGCCAGTGCTGGCGACTTCCTTCGTCTGCAGAGCTGAGCCTCTGCGTGGTCAGACACCAGCCCTGTGCAGATGGCCTCCCTCATGTAGGGGTGCGTGCTCTCCACATAGGAAGGGGCTGAGACATTAGGAACCGCAGAAGAGCCAAAATTCTCCAGTGCAATTGGAGGTGGCAACTGGGATGATGAAAGGAGGGTGAAGGGGGCAGGCTGATACTTCCCTACAGACACTGCAAAGCAGAAAGCCTGGGGAAACGGTGGTATGATGGGAACATAAATCCCAAAGAAAGAGGAAATCCAGCTAAAGGGCATCTGTAAAGGAGGTGGAGGGTCTGTGCAGTGAGGAAAGTTACAAGCAATGGTTGTGGAAGCTGGCAGCCACTGGTGCAAGGGATCCAGGAACACTTCATCTCCAAGATAAATGATCTTATAAAAGGGTACCTGTCTGGGAGCAACTCTCCAGGTCCCATACAGATGTTCATCCTGGCCAGGGGGCATCTGGCCTGTACTGGTATGGGACACCCATCTTCACACTGCTGGCAGCGGAGGAAGCTTTGCTGCATTCTCAGAGCATGCCTTGGGACAGCAGAGACCCAAGAAGCAGTCACTGGTGCAAGGGTGGGGGCCATGCCCAACCCAAAGGCAAGGCGAGCTTCCAACAGAGAGTAGGCAGGCCTGCAATTTTGCATGGAGAAAAAAAAACAGAAAAATCATATTTTAAGGAGGGAAAAGGCCAGTGCAACCACATCAGCTTTCAGCCAGAAGGGCAGGTCCTCTGCAGAGTGCTTTCACCCCATGAAATGCAGCAGCTCCATTTGAAGAGGCCCCATAAGGTAGGTTTTAGGGTTAAAAGTCCTTCCCAGCCTTTCTTCTCATCTGAGGGAGATTTCAAGGCCACCAGGAGTACCCATGGGGTGGCTCCAGATAGCAGCACCTCATGTACCATAGCCTAGAGCTGCCACTTCTACCACAGGGCACCCACACAGACTGAATGCCACCCTCTACAGCAGGCTGCCAAGATCCTCAGCAGCATCACTGCTGGCAGCAGTATTTTTGTTTCCTTACTCGGGCAGGAGATAAGCCAGACAGGTATGAAGCCCTGAGGAAAACCATAGGCTTCCCTACTTCCTAGCCAAGGTAGCCCAACCACCCCCACTGCAAGAGGTTTCTCGAGGCCTTCCACACCAAAATGGTCCACACTATCCCTCACAACAGTGCTATGATGAAGGTCTCCAAACATCAAACCAAGCTCTGCAAGAAGCAGTGAAAGATCCCTTTAACACCCTCACAGAAAGCTGAGGTTTCAGCTCGGCACCAATTAAGACACCAAAGAAGCAGCACCAGAGGAGGACGCTGCAGAGGGGAAAAGGCACAAGTCCCCTTTTGCACTCAAGGCACCAGGGAGCCTGTGCTGCAAACCAGGCATAAGCATCCACGCAAGGCAAAGGGAGCGGGAGAGCCTAACCATGCATTCTTTCTCGGGGTAGCAGCTGCTCACTCTGCTATTATTTCCTACTGCTTCATATAATTTGTGCTCCACAGCAAGCTATTGTCCCTTTCCACTGGCTATTTATTTCCTTGAATAGCCTCTGGGGAAGGATTTCAGTGCGGGAGAAAAGAGAAAAACTCCACACAATAAATATTGAACAGTGACCTGATTTAAACTGTGTTCTCTGACCTTATCTGGGCCCTGGCTGAGGTTCCTCCCTGCAGGTGTGATAAAGCCATGTTTCTGCCTTGGTTTCCCCCTTTTATGAAGCCTAGGAGGGAATGACCCCAGCCTTAGAGGGCTGTGGGGCGCATTTCAAGAAGCTGAATCCTGGATTTTCAGGGGCCACAGCTTAGGACATGACTGAAAAGAGGTTTCTGCCACATCCTGATGGAGATGATCAGTCCTCCACCTAATAGCCCCAGAAATTCCCAGAGAGGTTGGACAGGACTGGTTTCCCCTGTGGTGGAGAGGTGCTGGTTTGCCTCTCAGCAGGTAGTGCTGCAAACTTTCACCCAGCCGATCCCTGAGCTCTGAAAGTCAGCCAGCTTTCTAATGGAGGAGGATTGAGAGAACAGAATGTACTTACCTCAGCCAAGCACTGAGGTAAGCCCAAGACTGGATAAGCAGGTCTGTAGATCTTGAGGGTGTGTACAGGAGAGGATTTTCCAGGAGACACAGGAGAAGCCAAGGCAGTGATGAGCACAAGGACACTAGGACCCAAGAGCACTAATTTCCTGCCTAAGAGGTTAAGCAGTGTGGGATGGCTCCCCTGTGGAAGGCACTGGTCTCTGCATTCAGATCAGCTAAAGTGGGAAGGAATAAAGGACTGGAGGTAAACCTCCTGCTACCCCTCATGCCCCAGCTCTCTGACAGTGCATCATCCAGATCCCCTCTGGGAAGTATGGAAGCAGAATTCATGCTCTGAAACTGGTGGCAAGGGATTAGAGGCCACCAGCATCCGGTAGGTTCGACACCAGCATTACTCCCCTTAAGCTGTAGGGTGTCATTTTTCTTTCTTAGGATGTGGGGGATAAGCAGGAAGGACAATGCTAGCTGAGCAGCCAAACTGTGGGAAAGAAACCCAACACATTCTTTCAGAACTAGGGGCAGTAGTGAAGGAGGCAACTTGAACCAAGCAGTGGGATGGGTGTAGCCTCAGACTCACTCCATCTCACAGCTCTATGAGAAAGGCAGTGGTGCCACAGTGATTGACATCTCCTATCTCCATGGGGAGCTCAAACACGCTGTGGCGGATGGTTTCCAACCCCATGGCCAAGTTATGTCCTTATACCTTTGCAGAGGACATCTCTCTTGGGCAGCTCTAGAAGTCTGTGGCAACATTTTTGTGTGGTACAAGTTGTGCATGGGGAAGAGAGGAAGGTGGCTCCCATGCAAGGAAGCTTGCTCATGAGGCATCAAGGGCCATTTCATCAACCCAAGCCGTATCTTACAGGTGCCCATCTTGCCAGAGGGGCAGAAGAACGAACTGAACCAGCAGAGGATAGGGAAGGGAGGTCAGAGGAGTGATTGCATGCCACCCAGTTCCGTTTCCAGCCTTCATTTCTCTGATTCTTTCCCTTGTGGGGGCATGCCAGGAATGTGGGCTGTGGGAAAGGCTTTCAAAAACACGCCCGGAGATAAAAAACACACTTGTGTTGAAAGCCTCCCTACTGACAAGGAGAAGATGCATAGAAGGCTCATGTCTTCCCTTCCTCCTAAACTTCTGTAATCTCCCAGCTTTACCCAGACTTGCTGGGTGAGCTATTATTAGCTTAGTAGGAAACAGATCTTCCAAAGAGCCCTCCATAAAGGATCAGTTTCATGAGGTTTTATGTTCCACTTGCATCTTGCATCAGAAGATTATTATCTCCAACAGCTTTATCCTGCCATTAAGTAAGATGGCAGCTCCCTCATCTTGCACACCATTGGGGAAATTGAGGCACAGACACCCAAGTTCACATCCAAAACAATTCTTCCTGTTTGATTTTCATCTTAAAGTTTCGATGGCCAGATTAAAAAATTATAAATAATGAAATCAACCTAGCTTTGCAAACCTGTGCAAGAAGCTAAAAGGAAGCTGTGCTCCCCTGGCTAATGCAGCTAGCGTATCAGAGATGCTGATCTCTCACCACACCACCTCCTATCAGTAGGAGAGACTGAGGCATTCAGTGCCTCTGAAAAACATTAGCCCTTGGGTGGGTGCAATTAAGTCTGAGGCATTCAATTGAACTGACAACAGTGGAAGCCAAGGAACTTCTGAGATGCCCCAAGCCCAATTCCCCTGACTTCAAGGGGACCACTTCCCACAACAAAGACAGCGTGAGGCCAGCTGGCTGGAACCCGAATAAGCTAAAAAGAAACACAGCATTGCGCCATACACAAAAGCTCCATGGGGACCTCCCTCCATTGAGCTCAGAGCAGCCATCCCGATTCCATCCCACAGGGCACGCAGCAAGAGTGACTGCCACGTCCCTGCACACAGCGGTCCATCCGCACAGGGAGAACAGTGCTGGCACTGCACAACCCACTCTGAGTGTGTTTCTCATGGGCTCCAGCCTGAGCCAAGGCAGGTTGGACAACTCTGAGGATTTGCAGGAATCCTTCAGACGAGCAGAATCCATCTGAGTCACATGCATGAGGCGCGATGCCAAGGGTGGCTCATCCACTGGAAATAAAAAAGAGAAATAAATGCTAAGGGAGAAATAGCAAGTTTTGAAAAGCCACAAGAATTAACAGCTCATGGGCTGGAAAAACGGGGAGCGAAAATCAAAAGGGTCTGCTCTCCCATGCTCACGTCACTAAAGTCAAGTATTCCTCATCCCCGTTGGCAAGTAGCACCCACCTTACCACACATCAGCTTTGAGAGGGTCCACAGGGGCGACCCACCATGGATCTAAGGCTATGGCCGAGGTCTGCAGAGGAAGGGGTTGTCAAGTCAAAACTATCTGTTGCTCAAAAATCAACTTGAACAAACTCCCTTTGATGGCCCTGCAAAATGAAACAGTAAAAACCAAACCAGATGGAGATGGGAAAGAAGAGCTGCCAAAAAAAAGGGAATCCAAATCCCAAAATGAGTGACTCGGTGCGGTAAATGGGCATCTAAAGAGGAAACGGCAGGCATCTGAAGGAGACCTAAGAAAAGACCAGGCCCACACAACTGACTCTCCCTGTTCCTCTCCTCCCCCTTTCCAGGGGGAAGGGCACCAAAAATACATGAACCCATGGACCTTCAGAATGAGCCACAGGGAAAGGAGCCTGACCTGCCACAGGAGCTCCAAGGACAAGCAGGGTAGGTCCCAACTCTTACCAGCATGAGTGCTGAATTACTTTTTCCCAGTTTCCTAGGAAGGAGCTACAGCCATAGCCTTGTGAAGGAGCTTCTGAAGCCAGCACCTGAGCCTCCTGGGTCATGGAACTGCCCAGATGCTTCATCTCCACAAGGTACTGCAGGGAGCTGGTCTGCATTCCTGGGACACCTCATCTCCCTTCCCAGCACTATACTGGACACTAAGGGACACACCATGTATTTGAGGACACCCTCTTTTGCTGACCAGTCCCCTATGGGCATCCTGTCCTTCTTCTGGGCAGTTCCTGTGAGCCTCTACTCTTGTGAGCCCCTACTCCTGTTTCTGACCCATGCCACATATTGAGTAGTACATAAGCCCTCACTCAACCACAGTGGATGTTTATTTTGCATTCCCAGCAGTCATGCTACGCTATTTGTTCTCTCTCTGGCTATTTTCCTTCCCTCCAGTTTGTGCCTCCTCCTGCTGCCCGTCTTTCCCTGCCACCAGCAACACACCGAAGCCAGAACCTGGCTGTGTTTCTCTGGCTGCCCTAGGTTTCTCCATAGTCTTCCTTCTGGAAGTCCCCCAGCAATGAAGCAGACACACAGATTTAACTGCAGTCAGATCCCTGGATGGAGAATGCTTGCTCCTGAGAGGGGAAAAGGGTATTACAAACTAAATGCTTTGAACACCAGACAAATCTTACCATATCCCAGGCTGAATAGCCCCAAACACGTGTCCATTCTCTATGACAGACTGACTTGCCAAGCCAGGAGACCTGATAAGAACAATGCGACCGGGTGGCTGCAACTGACAGGCAAGTTCCCATCTGCACACAGATAGCTTATCTCCTCTGTCAAGATGGGACATGCATCAACGTCTGCTGCACAACAGCAGGGAAATGCTAGCGGAGACCTGCTCTCTGGTCCTGAACATGCACGTAGCACTCCTTACAACACCGTCCCTCAGGAACATCTCTATTACTCACTCAGTCTCATTAGGAAAGGGGTGGGAATCCTTCCTGAACAGCTCCAGCACAGAAGCAGCTCCCCAGAGACCCAGCTCAGGCTGAGCTGAAGAATGCTTAGTGCCAGCTCTGGACGCCAACAAGTGGCTGGCTGCTGCAGGACCAGCACAGCAGCTAGAGAAAGCTGGAGGGAAGAGGTCTCATAGCCCACTCTGCCAGTTGCAACAGTGCTTTTAGCCCCATCAGCTCCCAGCATGCACTCTCCTCCTGAAATTCAGCCAGAGGGCAGCTAAGGGGAGGTGAGCTGCTCAAGATGCAAAGCTACCCTCTGCAAGGAAGGAGGTGAAAAGAGAAGCAGCCTCTGCTGGAAGCATCCCCTCCTGCAAATGAGGACGGCAGAAAGAGGATATGCTTCCAGCAGAGGCAATGTGCAAATGCAGCGTGGTTGCAGCAAGAGCTAGAAAGTGGACACTGCCTTCAAAATGCACGCTGGGCTGAGGGGAACAACAGTGTGCAGCCCCCCCCAGGCAGAGGCTGCTTGGATACCCCCAGAGTTGTGGACCTGAGTCTCCCCCTGGCTGGAGGACTTGCCTCAGCAGCACATTAAATGGAGATACATGAGCTCTGCCCCTGTTCTGCTCCCCAAGTGAGTTCCCAAACCTGATGTAGTTTGGGGTGGTGGGGGAAACAGGACCCAGGCTGCAGAATCGTGTGTTCTGTGGGCAATATAGTGGGCTCCTTGTTCTGCCTGCCCAAGGCACAAAAGCCAGAGGTGCAAATTCAGCATGCCTGTACACCCAGTCCAGTCCGATTCCCTGCATCCAGGAGCTGGCCCCCACACCCCCATGACCTCATGTGCTTGGGCAACATTTCCTCATAGCATCTCCCTCACCCCACCAGGCAGGAGGTAAGACGTGGTCAGTGATACATAGCATGGTGTGTAGAACACTGAGTCACAACCCTGTTTCAGCCACGGCTAGCAGACAGTGTTTCCCAGTTTCAGTCTGGCACACACACTCCCACCCCACACGCTCACTTACAACCTGTTGAGTGACATTTCTGCATCTTCGGAGAGAGGAAAAAATGGAAAATTAAGGGGTAAATACGCAGGCTGCAGGGGACTGCACTTCAACAGGCTGCCTTCAGAGGGACCTGGCCTTACAGAGTGCAGCTGTTTCGGCTCCAGAAGCAAAGACCAAGGCACTGCTCCCAGCTATGGCAGTGTTCAAGGCCAGGTTGGACACGGCCTTGTGCAACCTTGTCTAGTGGGAAGTGTCCCTGCCCACAGCAGGGGGGGTTACAACCAGATGATCTTAAGGTCCCTTCCAATCCAAACCATTCTGTGATTCTATGGGGTTAAATGTTTAGTGACACCAAAGCTCTGCTGGGAACAGTCCCCAGGGCACCCTGGCCCCCAGCTGTGCCTGGCTGCTGCAGCATTGCTAGCTAAAACAGCTCTAACCCGTGCCAGGGAAGGTGCTAACAACCACACAGCACGAGACATCATCCCACAGCAGCACTCAGGCCTGGCCCTGCTCCTGCTGCATTTACCAAGACAGATGAAGCCAGAGGGACCAGAAAGCCGCCTATGAAAGGCCAGGTCCACCCTCAGCAAACCTGCACACACACAGACTCTGTGTCTCCCTCCTCCAGCTCCTTCTCGGTCACAGTTTTCTTTCTGTTCCTAACCCCACGTCTGCCATTCACCAGCACTGGGTTCACTCCGCTCTGCTGCTTCCCACTGGGGCTGAAGCTCATTGTGCTGCCAAGCATATGCTTGAGCAGCCAGGCTGGAGGGGAATGCTGCCAGACTGCCTCCTCCTGCCATTCCACAGCCCAGGCTTAAGCCAGCACTGAAGTTTCCTACAGGGAACCTGAGGCAGCTGCAGCCAAAGCGGGATTGCTGGCAATGGGGGATTTTCAAGCCCAGGCCAAAACCCATCTCTTGAAGCTCCCCAGCTGCCAAACATGAGCCAGCTGCACAGCAGAGAGCACATGCATCCTCTGCCGGGGCACCCCACAGCGGGAATGCCTCCTCCCTGTGCCATGCTATAAAAGAGAGGCTGCACACGGCTGCGCCTGAGCTCCCCTCAACATCCCTGGCAAACGTCACACTTCATTGTCGCCGCAATGCAGGCATTTATTCATCATCCAGGCTTGGGGATTTGCTCCAGGACGCCTGGTCTCGTGTCACCAATCTCTGCTCAGATCATGCTTGGATGCCCATGAAAAATGCCTGTGCAAGAGGATTTTTCTCCTTCTCCCTCCTGCTGTTCTTCAGAGCTAAACTGTAACTTGGCAAAATCCTGCCTCTTAAACCATTTTTCTCACCAATAGTTGTGCTTTCTAATGACACCCCTTCCATCTGCTAGTGATAACACAGCAAGAACGGGTGAATCTGCTCACGTTTTCAAGTGCCCCTCTCGACACCTGAATCCCAAATGCACTGTATCAGTAGCAGATCGTTTCCCATCTGAAGCTGATCTCATCAGCAGTGCAGTGAATGACTTCATCCAGGCTCCCCCTTGCGGGCTCCGGGCCTTCGATGCTCACTTCAGCCCCATAAATTGAAGCAGCTCTGGCAGGTCGTCTTCTCCCTGGTCTGGTTTTGCCTCACCCAGATACATAACCTATCAGCCCCCAAGCCATGGCTATGACTAGGGCTTCTGTCCTATCAGTTTTCTTCCATCTTTGCCTGCTGCCAATGCTGTTCCTCAGCAGCAACAGCATTCCCATGTTTGCAGAGCATGTCCTGGACTCTCACGGGAAGAAGCTATCGGCAACAGCAAACCCATCTGAGCCTTCCTCAGGGATTACAAGGGACTGCTACTCCGCACCAGTCAGGAGGGCACTGCTGCCTGCTCAGTCAAGGGATCAAGACAGTGCCCAGTCTGGAAGTGGCACTTGAACAGGAGGAAGAAGCACAGCTCACCTCTAACTGGTATTTGCCCCTCTCTCTTGCTTGTCTCGTTGAGCCAGTTGCTCTAATGACAGAACCAACATGGAAACGAAATTTAGTATACGGAGGTCAGGGCAATTCCCTAAAGGAAGCCAGTGCAATTATCCCCACTCTAGCGACCAGGGAAACTGAGGCAGTGAGAAGAGCTTGTGCATTTCCTCGAGTCTTGCTCCGAGACATGCTTAATTGCAGAGATGTAGCCAGCTAGTTTTCTGATCCCTTATCCAGCATCCTGTTTCCTCATTCTGCCCCTGTAGTTTAGAAAGATGCCTTTGATCACCAGGGACAGGTCTTCCTACAGCAAAAAGGGAAACACTGAAAGAAATGGAATGGAGCAATCCTGGATGACTGCATACCACAAGAAAGTGCTGCATATGAAAGGGAAGGAGATATTTCCTATTAGATTAAAGGAATTCAAACCTGCTCTCTCCCTCTAGAGAAGTATGCAACCCTATACTTGCCTCTCTAATTGCAACCCTTCGCTGAGAAAGGTGCTTAGAAGTATTGCAAAAGAAAGATTAGCCAAGGTCAGGGAATAGCAGGGCTGCAAATCCAGGGGATTGCGTAAGGGGTGCATGGTCCGAGGTGATGTCAGAGAGGTGCCACCAGCCCTATTCCAAGAGAAAGCAGCAAAGGTACAACAGCCAAAACCCCAGGAACTGGCTGCTGCAGTCAGCCAGGGGAAGGGGACAAGAAAAGGGAACAGAAGACTGCAGTACTGAGCTTCAGGAAAGTGAAAGGTCTCCAGGGCAGAATGCCTTGCCAAGGCAAGAGGAACGCGACAGGGGAAAGGGAGCCTCACGTCATGGGCCAGAGCTGACGACCCGGCAGGAAGCGCACCAAAGCTCTCGCTGCTGCACAGAAGCACATCTGAAAAACATCGCAGGGTTCACATAAACACACAAGACAGAGAAACCAAACAAACGCTGGGACAGAGCGAGGGCGACAGCGCCGTTCTGGCTGCCTGAAGACGACCTGGTGGGCGGAAAACCCCTGTCCCAGGCCACCCAGCCGCTCCTGCAAGGCCGCCTGCCCTTCCCGACCGAGCGGCACCGTGCTTTTTTTACGGTTCACCTCGACACATCAAGGCTGCAGCCGCTGAGCCCACGTCTGTCAGGCAGGAGCTCTCCTGCCTGCTGCTGCCCTCTGCGGGACAGCCTGCTGCGGGACCTGGCCGACGTGGGATCCAGCACCAGCTGCCCTGACACCAGCATGCCAACTACCCATGCCTCTCTAATCACTTTCCTCTTCAACTGGCTACGAGCTAATTATAGCTGCAGTACTGTCATTCGGTGTGGTGTTAATTACAACACAGTGTCTCACTCCAGCCAAACCTAGTTTGGGATTCCAGCTGTCAGTAAAAAATAAATCGAGGGACAGGAATCCCAGACTGGTTTGTGTTGGAAGGGTCCTTAAAGCTCCTCCAGTCCCAACCCCCTGCCACGGGCAGGGACACCTTCCACTAGAGCAGGTTGCTCCAAGCCCCGTCCAACCTGGCCTTGAACACTGCCAGGGATGGGGCAGCCACAGCTTCTCTGGGCAACTTGTGCCAATGTCTCACCACCCTCTCAAGGAAGAATTTCTTCCTAATATCTAATCTAAATCTTCCCTCTGCCAGTTTAAATCCATTCCCCCTTGGTCCTGTCCCTACCTGCCCTTGTAAAAAGTCTCTCTCCATATTTCCTGTTGGCTCCTTTAGGCACTGGAAGCTGTTCTAAGGTTTCCCTAAAGATTTCT